ATAAATTTTCCTTTTTCATTTGCTCCGTGTAGCAAATATCACAAATCCAACAAGGCAACTATACAGAAAGTAGGAAAAAGTTATTTCTTAAGAAAACGATTTTTACGTGACACTGAATATTATCCTTTAACACAAAATATTACGTAGAAATAATTTACTAATAAACAAAATAATTACTACTAAACAATAATTACTTAGTAAAATTATTAGTGAAAACTTGGATTTACTAAAAAGTATTTAGTTACTAATTAAGAGTACTTAGTTATTAATTTTTATTGTAAATTAATTTTTTAAAGTCGACAATAATGCGTTTGTAAAGATACAGAAACGTTATCATTTATAATAACGAATTATAGCTCCATTGTAACATTTGTTTGAAATTGTCCCGGCGCCTCCACCAAAATTTTAATAAACTCATTTAATAAATAGTGTTAACGTTTTTTAACATGTCAAAATTGAGATTAATACAAGTTACCAAATCAATTCTACTATTTCTTCGGCAAATTCCGTCATTTACAATCGAAATTTGTAATTTTTGCTTTGTCATAAAAATTTAGTTTTCTACGTGTATGATGCGTTGTATATGCATGTAGATATTATGTTGTAAATTGCATTTTAATTGTAAATAAAATATAAATTAACATTGCTAATTACATCTACATGGAAAAAACATAATTTAAAGATGAAAATTAATCAAGCTACTTCAATTAAACCTCAATTATAGCTCAATTATAACATTTGTTAGAAATTGTCCCGGCGCCTTCACCAAAATTTTAATATATATTTAATGTACGATATATTTTCATAAATACTTTATTTTCGGTATTAAAACAATGGTTTACAATTAAAATTAAATACTCTTAACAGCTGCAAACAATATCTAATGTGTACGGATTTCCAATCATTTTATATCTTTAAAAATATTACTAATTGTAAATAATAATTAGTTGTTTCTACGCAGAGTTGAAATGTTATTTCTGGTTATTTTTGTCTTTTTACATTATTCGTCTTATATCATGTTCAAGTAGTTTTTAATACTAACCTGAGATTATAATATTTTTATCGTTTATAAGTCAAACTGATTAAAGCTTTTCTAAAAAATCGCCTCATTATTTTAGAAAGCAGTGACCCAATTATGGAGTAATTGAAGGGTAATTTTGAAGGGTTGACGCAAAAGATCATCATTGCTGATATCATATATTCAAATGCTTGTTAAAACAAAAATTTAAGAAACAATTGGATACTTGATTTCTAAATAAGCTTCTCAGAAACGTCAATATCAAAAATTTCCGGTTAGAAAAATATAAAAGTTTAAATTATCATTTTTCAGAATAGATTCATTGATTATTGTACTTACTAAGACATTATTTTATTGGCAGGTACCATATACAAATACAAAAAATTAACCCTTAACATTTATGTATGATTTAAATACAACACGATAAATCATTTTGAAATACCTGAGAACCTTTTTGTAATATATTAGGATAAAATTTCGAAAACTTTTTATGCTTTGCTAGCGGTCCTACCCATGTCTTGTATATTTTAGTAAAAAAAACCGAAACATCAGTTTAAATCTTTGAATTTCCTTGAATTAAAATTATTAGATGATAGTAAAGAATGTTTGATTATGATTAAAATATAGCTATATTATCATTTATATTAGGCGATACAGGGAAGAAAATGCAAAACTCACCGTTGGGTTAATCTTTTTTTAAAAGTCGGAAAAGAAGAACAAGCACGAATATGCAATAAATGAAACTGGATGAACACTATACGTATTATACATAATACTACATGAAAGTAATTGAAATTAAAAAAGGGGAAAATAGTACATTACCAGCGAAACTCATAAAGTGTTTTTGATGACAGTAAGCACATACAACTCACCTGTTGATGCAGATAGAGTAAGATAAATTGTTTCAACTCAGTTACTTACCCGCGTTTATATACAGGGTCGACGAGACGCCGGCGCCGAAATGAAAGATGACGTGACACAGCTAATAAACATTTCCTCAAGACACGTTTTTGGCTGTTTTTGTAGATTACGAAAAATATCATCGTTACAGATATTAAAATTAATAAAAAGAACTTAATTGTTTTTCGTTGTAAAGAATTTTCGTTACATAGAGTAAGTAATGTAGGCAAGAGCCGGTCGGACTGTCACATTGAAGGAAACCCCAGGGATGAACGAGAGGGTTCACAAAAATTCTACCCCTTTTTCTCGAAAATGTACAATCTTGAAGACCGCTTACATTTCTCACAATAAGATAAAATAATACAACCCACTTAAATTTATAATCCCAAAGGCCATAGGACCATAAGCATGGTGAATCGGCCCCAGAGGAATATCTGGGTAATTTTTTCAGGGGATATTGATACTAATGAGATACGTTAATTTTGAAAATTTTAGACCTCTATTTTGGTTTTTGAATAAATTCAAAAAAACGAAAAATCAGAAAATAATTTTTTTCTCAAAAACGGCTTAATCGATTTGATTGAAATTTATACACGTTATGGAGGTTTATAAGGGCTATAATAGGAAAACATAACAGCTCATAATCTTTATAATAAACATTAAAAACAGGCATTTTTTACCGAAATTATTTTTTTTCTTTATGATAATGTTCTAGAACAATTTTGAAATAAACTTTTTAATATCGAATAAGCTCTCAAATTCTTAAATCGATCAAAAAGGTACGCCATATTGAAAAACGATAAAAAACGATTTTTTTTATATAAAAATCGATTTACTTTACTGTTTATACTTTTGAAACAAAAGAAAAGCGGGTTAAATGATTAATTTTATAAGTGCAAATAACATCAAATATTGAAAACAATAGTGTAATTGTTTTTTTAAGTCAAAATATTAAAAAAAGGAATTATAAACTATATTTAGATAAACCAAAAGATGACTCATTAATGTTAGTGATAGTCAACTATTTTGAATTTGAATTTGATAGTCTGGACATAGATCGAAAACCGAAGTAACGAGATAATACATCTTTTTCAAATGATTGTATCACTTGTTCACAATATTTTGAAACTAACTGCTCATTTTCTAATTGTAAAGTCGCTGATATCAATTTGTTTGAATTGTCGGTACGGAGTTTAAGTAAAAATACAATAAGAGCTTGAGTTACAGTACGAGTATCTGTATTTCTCATGATTCAATCATCCATCTTATCGAGCAGTGTAGAGTCACACTCAACAGCAAAGCTTTCCCTAATTTTAGTTAACTCTGATGATCTCAAAATGCTCCAATTACAATAAACTTTTATTAGGTAGAGATCTTCTTCATAAAAGCGCTTATTTATCAAATGATCTTTACAGCATCGATTTCCATTGGGAATGAAAATCCGTCGCTTAATTATGAACTACATACGAGCATCTTGAGGAANCCAACTTGATTTCGTATTAGTTATTTTTAATTAATAACAACGATTAAATTAAAAAAATCTATAATAAAAGGTGATAGTTTTCAATTTTATTTTAAATAATCTGTGGCGTGTTATACAGGTTTGAAGAAAGGATAATTAACATGAAATTCTGATTAATTAAATATTTAGAAATATCAAAAAACAATATCTTGAAATGATTGCAACTTTAATAGTTTATTTTCATTGTTTAATGAATTATGCAACAGTTTCGTTGTTGCACGTTTAATCTAGTATTTGAACTTGTTACCGTTTAGAGAAGGAATCAATTTACAGAATACAATATTACTATAAAATTTCACACTAATCTAAGTGGCTTCATACGTATGTACATACGTTGAAAGTATTTACTGTGTTTACACTCGTGCCTTTTTAACCAGTAAAGGTATTAAAAAAATGTATGCTTTATTTTGTAGTGTTAAATAATAGTATTAGGTGGTAATATCCTTTTTCTTCTAAAAAACAAAAAGTTTTCAAATTTTGCCATGTTTTATCTTACAATGGTGAAATGCCAAAAGAGAGGGAGATCTAGCTTTGTATAATTTCATAATTTCACGGAACGTTCGTACTAAGGGAAATTCCCACGGATTTTAATAAAACTTTCAGCCCTTTTTCGTCGAATCGAGATAATCCTCTACAGATGTTTAATCATTCGTTATTTTCATGGCAATTTTATTTTTTTATTTTTGGTCTTAAACCAGACGTACAAGCAAGAACTGATAAATTCTAGCAAAATAACACCTTGAAGTTTTGCCATTTGTTTAATAAACACCCTGTATGTAAACGACATATTTACAATATCATTTATGATCCTCATTTTTCATGCAACAAAAGTAAAAAAAGACCCTTATTTACCATTCGAGTATAAAGCACCAACCACCACCCCTGAAAAAACTTCCTGATTAACCCAGCATCACATCATTTCTGAATCAGGATGTCCATTTGTAATAAATACTTCGCCCAAAAACCACCCCCATCACTTTTATTCCTTTCGTTAAAAAAATGATACTAAAAAAGGTGTATACGTATCTTTAAAGTGTCAAAGTTTCACACGACGTATCATCCTTAAAGGTCTATTTGTTGTTAATACATCGCCGAAAGACCAACCCCCTACTCTTTACTTATCATTATTGGGGAACTTAAGTAAATTTATGGTTAACATCTTACTCGGGCGAAAAAAAAGTGTAACGTTAAAATGGAATTGTGAGATATAAACCATTGTCTAAAACTGCAATTAAGTAAGTTACAATTACGTGCTGTCGTATTAAATATTTATCCGAGTCAGGAACTCTGTTTGGTGGAGTGTAGGGTAAAAGAGCTAATTTAGAATTACGTCCTTACCACGATAAACTTGAACCGTCGAAAAAGGGAGGAGAGATAACATTCAGGCGACAAAATTTAATTCATTAATAATTCATTAGATAACTTTTAAAAATTAAAAAGGAAAAATTTAAGATCAAATCAGAACCTTGTCTAAAGACATTTTGTAACCTATCCAGTTCTTAAAAAAATACCGATGGGTATTCCTACATTTTAACAATTGAAATGAAATTCGAAATTTCTTCACAATTTTATTGCTAAATTGCATGCTGTATCAGTTAAGTAGTCAGAAAACGAGAAGGTAGGGCGTCAGACTGTAAATTTCGTAAGGGAAACTAACTTTTACGGAACCATTTAGAATTTTGCTCTTTTTATGTGGTCATATGAGTGTTAAAGATAAAAGATTGAAACCACGTCTATAATAAATTAAACTTGGTTTACATATGACCTAATGACGAGTTATGAACCGAGAATATGCATATTCTATCACGTGCGTCATCAAACACGTTCAAAAATTCGTACAAATAGATACCTTCACTTAGGGTTGCCATCCGTCCGGGTTTCCCCGGATTTGTCCTAGTTTAGAGGGCATCCGGGGAGCGTCCGGGGGGGCTTCATTTGTACTCCGGGTTTAAAAATTTAAAGTCCTAGGCCGCCCGCGAAGATATTTAAAATGTGGCTTTAAGGTGATACAAATGAGTATAGTTTTGGGTTATTTTACGTTTTAAAAAGTTGATAATAATGTAACTTACATTACAGTAAGTCTAAACTTTAAAAATGTTCAGTTTTGTTGCTTAAGATTTAAGAAGACTAAATTTAGTTCATATTCTGTTAAGAGATATTTTGTTATATAGGTAAATGGCTGCTAATAAAAATTTAAAGAAACTAATTATTATTCAGTTAAAAGNTTCATTTTTGTGTAATTTTTACCATCATCTATGAAGTAGATATTAACTTATCAATTTATATTTTATTTTAATTGACTCTACATTAACTGTTTTCTAATTTCGTATAGTAGAAAAATACTTCCATTCTATTTTTTCTCTTAGTTACATATTATTTCAATGTGCCAAGTCTTGTTTTCTTACTTGATCTTTTAGCTTATCTGTATGGTATTATTATTACCTATTGCTTAATTGCTTATTTATTAGTCATTGACATTCAGATCAATTGTTCCACTACATCCTTAAGGTCTAAGACAATGAGGAAATATTTTCATATCAATGTAATCGTCAATAATTTCTTTAATTTTTTCACAAGTCAGCTTAGGCCATTTTAGCTGGAATCCGAAATTTTTCAATTTGCTCCCGTCTAAACGTAAATGTTTGTTTAAAAGTAATTCAGGATCCATATGAGGTGATAGAGGCGTATTTTCAATTCCATCAGCTCGGCAAGCTTCTGCCCATGGCCCCAGGTGTTTATCATTTGCTTCATCTGCAGCTGCAGCAATGTCCACGACTGACGATAACATATTTCCATAATAACCCACATTTATATGAAAAAGATCAATGAGAAGATCAGAAATTGATCCTTGGTTTGAATTTGAGTCATCTACCACATTAAATACCTACAAAGAAGAAAATTATTTTAAAACCCAGTTTTTTTTTTTATTTACCAAGTATATTTATGTTTTGTTCGATGTATTAAAAGAAGAATGTACCTAATTTCCAATTATAATGGTAATTAGCTAGCACATCTTTTGGCAATATGGTATTGTTTATTACAAACATATTACATATGTATGTAAGATAATACTATGTGTCATAAGCGTAAAATTAAATCAGAACATACCTTTTATCATTCTTCAAATACCTACCACCATTCAAATTATCTTATCTTATCTAATAAATGAAGTTAAAGGGGTTGTTACGTGCCTATTACCATAATTTTGTTGTTTAAAGTACGATTTAAGTTTAATTAAATTGTTAAAAAAAATTGTATAATGCATAAAAAAAATTATAATACGCCATCATTTTTTCATAGTTTTATCTATCTATCTTCTTAACGTACCTATACATCACAACAGGACGCTATTAGCTATTTCAAGATCAAATTTATGTAGCTTCGCTTTAGTAATCTACGCAACAAGGATGTACAGGTCACAAATGTACATCCGTGTCCAACCCTGTCGAGCCAAATAATTCTGTGTACTAAATTGCGTTTTAAATGGCCCCCAGCGACTCATATCCGGATCGATTTATCTTCCATTAAGGCTCCTACGTGCCAAATTTCATTGAAATCATAAGAGACGTTTACAAAAAAAAGATTAATCACTTCATTTCTTATAAAAATAAACAATTTTTGTGGTAGAAAAACGGCATATTAAAGTGTCCCCGATAGGAATCAGTGTCTCGAATCTTTTATTTGAAAGAGACATTTAACGAGCGGTAAACGAGACACTTTAGTCTTCGATTCTTTAGCCACCTTCAGAATTGACATTGACAGTTTGGTAACCTCAAATCTAACAATAAATATTTTTGTTTTTTATTAAAATTTGTCTCCTGATTTCGCCGTAAATTGTTTAATTAAATAATGGGATAGTGTCAGTGAACAGTGCAAGAATGTTTCGTGCATTTGATGCATGCTGTGATAATGACGAAGATGTTTCTCCTCCTAAGTCACCAAGAAGAGATCTTGGAAATAGTTCAGATGAAAATTCCTGCCAAATGATTGTAATTTACTCATATAAAATCAAATGATATTGTATAGTATTTTTAGTATTAATATTTTGTAGATCGATAATTCTGAAAATGTTTTGAAAATAATGAGGAATTTATACTATCACAAAGAGATGTGCGATGTCTATCTAAAGATAAGCAACAAAGAGTATGCTGCTCATAGGCTAGTTCTTTGTGCTTCAAGTGACGTTTTTCAGGTATACTCATTATTAAATAACTGGCATGTTCATTTATACAGAAACGCAACACTGAGATTTACAACATTGCAGGCTATGCTTATGAAACCAGAATGGACTGAATGGAGAGAAAGTAAAATTGAACTAAAGGAATTGCCACAATGTGAAAATGTTTTTCACTTATTTTTGGAGTACCTCTACACTGGTAGAATTCTTATTACCCATACAAATGTTATTGCAATTTTAGCCCTTGCAGATAAATATATAGTAAAGGTAAAAAAGACTACAATCTACAGTAATTTGGTAGAATATGTAGATAAAATCAAAAAACATTTTAAAAAAATATTAAAATAATTTTTATGCTTTTACAGAGCTTAACAAGATTATGTCTTAACTATATGAGCAAGCATATACCACATGCTGCTAATCATAATCAGCTTTTTTCCTGGCTTCAATATGCTTTAAATTGTGGTCATAAAGAAGTTGCTATCATGTGTCAAAACTATATAAAATGGAACTTTGAAGCTGTAGCAAACACACCAGACTTCAGTAATTTTGAACCAGAAATATTCAGTAATTTATTACAACAAAACGATTTGCTCATTTATAATGAAATGGTTCTGTTCAATTGCGTCTCAAGATGGTTAGATTTGCAAGAGATTCGCTTGAAACAGTTGGGTTTAGAACAGAATGAAGTTGACAAACATATGCTAAATTTAGTAGAATCAATAATGCAATCAATTAGATTTACAATGATGTCACCTGCAGAACTTGCAGATTTAATTTTACTGCCGCTCGTGAAACGATACAGTTCGTTTTTTTTGGATAAAATGGCTTTAGGAATGGCTTATCATTTTGGTACACTTAAAGGAGACAAGGAAATCGACCCAGTGCAATTCACGCCGAGGCTTTACACTTGTGACAGATACAGCACAATACTCTCCATAGAAAAGGTGAGAGATTTACCGAGTTATCATGTTTCAACGTTTGTATTTTCAACTCACATGTCTACTTGTGAATCCGACTCTGATAAGATAAGCGAGTGGACTGTTGACGTTTATCCAAAAGGTGTGTGGTTTAAGAAATGTTTATTGATAGTGTGGCAAGGTACTCTGGAAGTTCCAGAAGAAATTAAACCCACAGTTAGGTTATCACTGACATGTAGGGAACCAAAAAAAGAAGACTTTAAAGTTCGTGTTGGAATACTTCTTTATGGATTACAAGGAGGTGTTCAACACGTACTGCAAGTGGTGGAAAAAGAGTGTTATTTCAACCCGACAAATAAAATTATGGTAGTTGATGATCTCCTGCCATTTGAAGAACTCAATCCACCGACAAGTAAAAGCCACAAATATAGGAGTCCATACCTTATAGGTTCGGATCAAAATGAACTGAAAATAAATCTAATTATAACGCCACTTTCATCATTATAATTTTGAAAGGAATTATACCCATTTAGTTGTTTTTTGCTTAGTGTATAGAGTGTAAGATCTAAAATTTGTTATGAATAAAACAAATAATTTTATTAGTTTTTATAAAATATTTTTTGTTTTATTCACAAAATTATGTTTATTGCAACTTCAAACAAGTATTCAATAATCAAAAATATATTTAAGTCTCTTAAAAAACGTTAAGTAAAAAAGTATCGTTACTGAATTTATAATATAAATGAGTACATATTATACAAAAGTAATGCTGATTAAAAAAGTAGAAGTATGAAAAAAGGCAACAAAGGCAACCTAATAAGTACATTGCTGAAATTATTATAGAGTTAGTTATTTATCACAAAAAATAAGCGTTAAAATTATTTATCAATCACATTTCAATTTTTTTTGTATAAAATTTTTTAAGATTTAACACCGAAAAAAATGTTTACTGGTGCGCTTTAAAATAACTAGTAATTGTTTAAAGAATAAGTACAGACAGCGTCGAAAACGCCACCTGTGATATTTTTTATAGTGTCATACAAAAAAATCAAACAGGCGTTCTATTGAGCTGATCTAATAAATGGAATACTAAAAACTAGAAATTCCACTGAGAAATGTATGCTTTTATATGGAACTTCAGGCTTTTAGTGTTTTACCTAAAAGTTAAAAAATATATAAACTGTTTACTATTCCTTCATTTTTGTGTAATTTTTACCATCATCTATGAAGTAGATATTAACTTATCAATTTATATTTTATTTTAATTGACTCTACATTAACTGTTTTCTAATTTCGTATAGTAGAAAAATACTTCCATTCTATTTTTTCTCTTAGTTACATATTATTTCAATGTGCCAAGTCTTGTTTTCTTACTTGATCTTTTAGCTTATCTGTATGGTATTATTATTACCTATTGCTTAATTGCTTATTTATTAGTCATTGACATTCAGATCAATTGTTCCACTACATCCTTAAGGTCTAAGACAATGAGGAAATATTTTCATATCAATGTAATCGTCAATAATTTCTTTAATTTTTTCACAAGTCAGCTTAGGCCATTTTAGCTGGAATCCGAAATTTTTCAATTTGCTCCCGTCTAAACGTAAATGTTTGTTTAAAAGTAATTCAGGATCCATATGAGGTGATAGAGGCGTATTTTCAATTCCATCAGCTCGGCAAGCTTCTGCCCATGGCCCCAGGTGTTTATCATTTGCTTCATCTGCAGCTGCAGCAATGTCCACGACTGACGATAACATATTTCCATAATAACCCACATTTATATGAAAAAGATCAATGAGAAGATCAGAAATTGATCCTTGGTTTGAATTTGAGTCATCTACCACATTAAATACCTACAAAGAAGAAAATTATTTTAAAACCCAGTTTTTTTTTTTATTTACCAAGTATATTTATGTACCAATGGGTTTGTTAATGTAATAGATATACTTACTTGTCCTACAGAATTGCTATTTTGACATACAAACCAAATAGCTCGACATAAGTCTTCAACATGAAGAGTATTGAATCCAAGATCAGCATTCCATAATAATTTCATAGTTTCCCCCAATTGCTTATAAATGGCTGCTCCCAATATTCGTGGAGTAAGTCCAGTCTTATCACCAATGCCATACACAATGGCCGGTCTCAGTATAACATAATTTAAATTTTCAATATTTTTAATCTCATCTTCTGCCTTAAAAAATTGAATCAAAGTAAACAATTTAAGAAAAAGCAGGGGAAAAATAAATAATAATTTACCTTTTTTTTCCATGCTGCTATCATTGTCCATGGTTGTGTCTGACTATCCTCTTTATGGGGTGTCTTTTCTGAAGACATCATTTGACCAGAGGAAATTTCAACATAACATTTAACTTGCTTAAGGGCAGCTTGAGAGGCGCAATTAATGCTCAATTTCAAAATTCCTTCTTTATAAACTGGATCTGTATGTCCCAGTTTGGTTTCACCAGCACAATTTATCACATAATCCCAACAGTCTACTTGAGTAGATGAAGCAAATGCATTTTTACAAGATTCTGCACAAAATATGAAAATACATTTTACATGTAGTATGATCACATCCTTTTACATATGCTATCTTACACCTTAACACTTACCATTGTTAATTAAATTTGCACTTTTAAATTCAACAATGGGGTTGTTAAATAATTCCTGATGTCTAGAATTTAACCACGCTACTTGAGGAGGCACTTTGTCAACGATTCTTACAAATTGTACCAAGTTATTGGTAATTAAAAAATCTAATAAATTTCTTCCAATGAAACCACATCCTGCATAAGAATCAATTCTGGTAAAATTCTAAGAAATGAATATTTTATTGCTTACCGCCTAAAATAAGTGCAGTACGTTTTTCCATCTTAACTGCAAATAACTAATAAAGTAGCAACACTATGTTATTATCACAGACTTTCTTTATCAATGAAAAATTATCTTAACCTAACCTACGCTGACATCCGCTGGTACCACATGGTATTGTTCTCTTCTGTATCTCGCTCTTTGTCAGAGAAGAGATCTTTGTCTATCTTGTTTATTGGCTTTGGTTCATTGGTAAAGTATATATTGTCCAATGGTCAGTTTGGAATGAAATGATCTTTCAGAAAATTTTCTTTCCAATTTTATTAATTACATATAATAGACTAGTCACTTTCTAAATCATTTCGTCTATTATTGCAATATTTGAAAGTTTTGCCGGACTTTTTCTTTAGGAGTATTGCATAGTAATCTAACAAATACTTGTACGTATTTTGGGTTGCCTGGATCTACATTTTTAAATTAACCGCTGAACTTTTAGTTCATATATCGAATGGTTAACTGCTTACGATGAAATAAATAATAACTGTACCTTCAAGTTAATTCTATATTTTTCTAAAACTCCATTGGTATTAGGTCAGTTGGTCACAATTAGTAGATATTGGTCAAACCTAAGAGTTTGACCAATGGCTTTAGGCAAACCACGGACTACATTTTTTCTAAAATTAAATTTCAAAATATTCTAATGGTAGTTGAATTCGAAAACCTCTTTCGAGACTAACTGTTGCACTACCAAAGTAATTATTTGTTGCTACTTAATATTTGATTACATTAGTAGTTTTATAATGGTTTCTGTACATTGGGTTGCCTATACAATTTATCGCAAATAGAAAAATATAAATTATCATCCCTAATCTAATCTACGTAGGAAAACTACAATATAAAGATGAATATTCGACAATTTACTTTAATGAAACTGGAATTGTAGCAAACCTATAGCCTTTGTTCTAACTTGTCCCGGCGCCTCCACGAAATTTTTAATAAATTTTTTTATTAATTGCTGATAATGTATTTATATATTATAATCTTCATAAATGTCTTATTTTAAGCATTAAAATAGTAGTTCACAAGATTAACCGTCCACAACGGCCCCCAACAACGTCAAATTTGATTCTTCATACAAGCAAACAAAGTTGTATAAATGCACAATACATAGAGTTAGATCCTTGAATCAATTTAATTAACGGAAGAACCATCGATTACAAATTTTCTAATTAATAGAAAAATTCAAATTTTTATGTCTTTTAAGATTTATTTCGTGCAAAAAGGATTAAAAATTAACATTAAGTACCTAGTACTCTTCGTAATACTTACTATGCAATACCTATTATAATGAAATTATGGAAAAGCCTGTCTTGATTTATTTTGAGCTTGTCCTGATATAAAAATGAATTAGCCTGTTATTTTTAATAGGATTTTGAGAAATATTCAGAAAATAAGGAAAACACAGAATAAATATTTCATAAAAAAAAACTATTAAGATACAATTATATACTCTTGATAATGACCGGTTAATAAGTCCAAACATTTGTCGAGAAGTCGAGATTGAATAAATAACTTGTTATAAATATACATACAGTGTAGAAGTCTTCCCGAAGTGAGCCAGTCCTCTAATATGAAATATTCTCAATCCCCACCCACTACACACCTCCTCAAATTAATGAGAAAAAATTTTTGTTGCTGCTGTCAGACCCCCGCCGGGAATCGAACCCGGGCTCTTTGGCTTTACGCGCCAATGTTTTGATTCCTCATTAATTTGAGGAAGTGTGTAGTGGGTGGGGATTGAGAATATTTCATATTAGAGGACTGCCTCACTTCGGGAAGATTTCTACATTGTATGTATATTTATATTCAGTATATAGTTACATTAGTTCGACGGATCTCTGACTAATCTCTGACAGTTTGTCGTTATTGCTGTTGTCATCTCTCGTAGCTTAGTGGTCAAAGCATTGGCGCGTAAAGCCAAAGAGCCCGGGTTCGATTCCCGGCGGGGGTGTGACAGCAGCAACAAAAATTTTTCCTCATTAATTTGAGGAAGTGTGTAGTGGGTGGGGATTGAGAATATTTCATATTAAATAACTTGTTATTACAAATTCTGGGAACCTCGCACCTACATCTAAAATTGTAAAAACTGCGTACACGTAGCAAACAAATTAATTTATTTATGGATATTTATAGCATACATAATTGACTTCATTAATGATGCTTTTAATTACCTTATACGCGTATAAAACTTAATAAGTTCCTTTTGCACAATTTCAGAATCGGCGACTTGAACATTTTACAACAACTAGGTACCCAATTTATTCGATTATACGAATGATGTTACATTCTCAGTTCAAAAAATTTATGTGGTTGTTAAGGTCATTAAAAACAATCGAAAATAAAAGTAACGATAATTATCAATTGAAAATTGTTCATGCTTCAAAATTTCCACCCACAACATTTTCCCAGGTAGCATTGCTAGATGTTCTACACTACTGTTAGTTGTGTTGGCAAAAAGAACGTAATATTCTCCTAAATAGTTATTCGTACACAATGTAAAGCATCTAATAGATAAATTTAACAGATCGTCTATTAAATGTGTAGATAGTGAAATGCGGTGACTTGCCTTACCTGCCGTAAATATTATTAAGTCTGCTGCTTTATATCGTCATTCGAGAAGGTACTGTATCTTATCAGGTTTTTTCCTCAGGAAAACGTTTTTCATAAATGTATGAAACAAAGGAAAGTCAAATAATGCACGCCGACTTTAGGTAATATCCAACAGTTAATCGTCGTACTTCTGTCTGTTCATCCATGTGGTTATTCTAGGCTTATTAAAGTCAGCGATACACTATCAGTTTTGTACATCGCAATGCAAGAACCGCGACAAGATGTTACGAAAAAAAAGTCTGTCAATTTAGATGAAGCTATAGAAATGACCGGTAAGCTTTATTTTATTAAGTTATTACAATAACACTAACTTTTGATAGTATCAAAAACTGGCTCTCAGTGGACACTAACGGAAATAACTGACGATAAACGTAAAAGTACAATGCAAAACATTCTGGTTGCATTTGGCTAATTTAACTTTTTTTTTTTTAATTAATTAATGTTTCCATTTTTTTTGTGATATTTACAAAACCCAAATTTTGTGGAAATTAACATTGAGTTTTATTTGTAAAATGAACTATGAGTTTCCATTAAGTTAGCTTGTAGGTATGGCTCGTCATAAATTATATGATATAGGTACGTAATCCTTAACTACATTTATTTTGTTATCTATTTTATGGCATCTACATGCAACAAAATTCTACAGCATTATGCTGGTGGTAATTAATTTGTAAAATGTAGGATGAAAATAAAAAAAAAACGCTCAATTTTTTTAAAGAATACGTGACGTAATATACAAAGTAAAAAGTAATAGGTACGTTGAATGTGAACATGAATGGCACACATTTAAACTTTTGACGGGTTCCTCAATTCTTTCCCTGAGTTATTTACAAAGGATCGAACCATTCTGAACTGATGCCGTTCTGATTCGGGCCTAATGGCGGTCGTCGTTTGGACTTGCTTCCTAACGTCTCGCTAGCACAATGAAGTGAACCAAGCATCGGAGATTGAAGAACCTCTGAAGCTTGCCACTCGTGCTAGCGAAACGTTAGGAAACAATTTCAATCGACGACTGCCTTTAGACTCGAATCAGAACCAGCGTTGCCACGTTCAGTAGATAGAATTATCGCACTCTTTAGGAAAAATTATCGTATTAACATCAAGAATATCGTACGTTATTGCGCATGCGCATCGGAGTAATAGTCTAGTGGTGGGAGTATGAATTTTTAAAGAGAGTCTGTGTACCCCAGTGGTTTTCTCGGTTCCATTATACCATCAATAGATGACACTATAAAAACTTTCCTGACAGGCTAATAACTTCAAATAGAAAAATGAATTTCGGACTGAATTTTAAACATTTTGGAAGAAAGTTCTTTTTTTAGAGTCCATAAACAATTAAATTTTATTAAATGTATACAAATAAACAACTTTTCAACATATATTTATATATCTATGCATATAGTGTATATATTTTAACATTATAAAATTGTACTTAANCATTTACGTTTACCGCTAGCATCTAGTTTTTTGGGGACAATCCATACGGGTGAGCTGTAGGGGGAAATGCTTGGTCTTATAATTTTGTTATCTAAAAGCATCATCACCATTATTCTTATTATTATTTTTATAAAGATTATTCGAATTAAAACGAGATAACATTTCATCAGTGATCTCAAATGTATTGCATCCCCCATTCATTTCAGTACACTGACTTGTAAGTAAAAGTCCGTTAACGGTAGCTAGTTTAGCAAAGAGAAGCTCTTAGGATCTACCTGAGAAGCTTTCGAGAATCAAAAGAGCCGAGTTTGCCCGACTCTGTTGTAAATTAGAGAGAATTAGTATTTTTATGAAGTGAAAATGTTCAAATGACCATTTGTTCTATTAACAAAAGATTTTAAGGAGGTAGAAAAACAAGGCAACAGGTTAGCAGAAACAGATATCGTAGTCCCACTACATATTACTATTTGAAAAAATTTTTTTATCCCATAAGCACGAATTATCGTACGTTTAATAGAAATTTGAATTACGATATCGTACATCGTATTTGAAGCAAAATTATCGTATGTCCCCATAATTATCGTACAGGCTGGCAACGCTGATCAGAACAGCATCAGTTCATCTACTGACCGCGAAAGCCTTTACCAATTTATCGAGTCATTCTATTTTAGGTCAGCATCTAGGAGAAAATATATCTAAAGAAGTTCATTATTGCAGGTAGGCAACTTAACCTGGCCTAGCCTAACCGTGACATAGACCATAAATTTCGCCTTTTTGCAAGCTCAAAGTTGTATTTTAACATTTTATAATGATATGGATTTGTAAATGTGTGAAAACCCACACTGATCCGTTATGAATATCGTTATGTTACGTTACAATTAAGGCATTGAATAGTTACTATCAATAGGTTAAGAAAAAGGCAAATATAAAAAGAAGGAATATGATACAAAACAAAAGGATGACTCGTTTGCTTTTATTTTTTTAGGCTTCTTTTACACATGTTGTAATTAAGAAAAGAACGCATTTACTAAAACGTTAAATACCTACATATATGTATATATGTACGTTCACAAAACAAGTCAGTTATTTGCTTATAATTGTAAATTAGTCAGGGCGATTGTGCGTAAAAGGTAACGCTGGTAAACATATTTGTTGACATAGCTTACACGTCGTATACTATACCAAAATAAGTGAAATATATATCTAAATTATTATTATTATTATTAGATATTATTGTTATTATTATAGCTACGTTAGATACGTCTAAAAAATATTAGAATAAACATAAATGAGTAAAAACGAGCATAAAAAGGAAGATTTGAAAAGTTACCAAACTTTTACCTTAACTTTATCAACTAAATTCATCTTTAGTTTACAAATACCTTTCGAAAAACAACCAACTCTACTTTTATTAGGTAGTACACATCGTTATAACCGTTTTCTTTTTTCGAAGGTTTTGGATTATTTAACGTTTTCGTCATCCTTGTTGCTGGTGGATGTCTAATGTGCGTTATAATGGAAACAATGGGTATGATGTTTGTATCTCCGGCAGCGCAATGTGACTTAGATTTAGGAATAAACGAAAAGGGAATTTTAAATGCAATCAGTTTCCTGGGAATTGTGTTCACATCGAATATTTCGGGTTATATAGCCGACACTCATGGCCGAAAAAAAACACTTGTAGCCAGTTTATTATCAAGTTTTTGTGTTACTGTAATTTGCGTATTTGTTGCGCAGGATTGGCTTTTTATTCTACTAAGGTTTATAAATGGTGCCTTGTAAGTATTCACTAATTTTTTTTTTAACTATTATTCTAATTTTTAACCAGTAACGCAACTACTACTCATAAAGTACCTATACCTACTTAACGCTTAACTTAATTGATGGCGTTTGTATCATTTTAATGAGACCTTTTAAGAAATTAGGACTTGTCATGTCTTTTAGTGGACATTCAGCGTTTCATTTATAGGGTTGTTCGGGAAGTCATTTCGTTTTTTTTTTGGTGGAAATGAAAGACAGTTTTCGTATATATATTGAACGTTCTGGTCCAACACCTTTTGCCATCTTTCTAGTAGTAGCATAATTCCACGCTCATAAAATTTTTGGTCTTTGCTGGCAAAAAACTGATCGAGGGGGTTTTCGACCTCCTCATTTGACGTGAAGGTTTTACCGTCTAAAAAATTTTGGAGTGATCGGAACAAATAATAATCCGATGGTGCCAGGTGTGGAGAATATGGTGGGTGTAGCACTGTATCCCATTCAAGCTGTAAAAGCTTTTGCCGAGTGATCAAACTTGTGTGAGGTCTCGCGTTGTCTTGGTGAAACACTACACCTTTCCTGTTGATTAGTTCTGACCTTTTCTGTTGAAGTGCATCATTCAGTTTGTCCAGCTGATGACAGTAGACTTCCGAATTAATCGTTGTGTTATCCAATAAAAGCTAAAAAAAAAACGATTCCTTTAAAATCCCACCAAACAGACAGCATCACCTTTTTTTGGTGAATATCGGCTTTGGAAATGGTTTGAGCCGGTTCATCTTTTTTGCTCCATGACCTCTTGCGTTTGACGTTGTTGTATTCAACCCATTTTTCCTCCCCAGTGATGATGCGCTTCAAAAACGGATCATTTTCGTGACGTTTGAGAAGCGAATCGCACACGTCATTGCGGCGACACAGATTTCTCTCTGTGAAAACATGGGGAACCCATACATCGAGCTTCGAGGATAATCCCAGGCCTTTCAAGTGGTCATAAACTGTTGAATTTGTTAAATTTAACCTCAACCCGATCTCACGCCGGTTCACATCAACTAATGCCTTTATCGCGTCTTTATCAGCTTCAACCGGCCTTCCCGAACGTGGTGCATCTTCGACATCAAAATTGCCGGATCGAAATTTAGCGCGATAAGCCACATCTTCTCCATACACATCAGTCAATTTCTTTTTGGCTTGAACAGCATTTCTACCCTTTCTGTAGTAAAACAGTAAGATATGTCGAAAATGCTGCTTATCGCTCTCCATATTTAAAAGGGCACCAACCAAAAACTACTGCATAGAATTAATTGGAATTTTTCACACACAAGCCTTGCTATATGAGCTCTCAAAGCATATAAAAATTATACGGCTTAAATGTGAAGTTGGGTGCAAAAGAATACAATTAAATCCTCTGTCGGGAAAAAACGAAATGACTTTCCGAACAACCCAATAGTTGTCAATTTCAATTACTTAGCATAACCCAAAGTTCAAAATCCCATTTCAACAAAAAAATTTTGTATTTGGCAATAACTTTAAACTAAACCAGGCAAATGCCAAAGCAGTAATAGTCTCACGTTCTTAAGGCCTTTTGCCTTACCCATATCCATCAATTTGCACCACGGTGTAATCTAGATCGGCGAAACTGTGGAACAGACCATCATTTTAGTGGGCTGTTGAGAGTGAAGTATACGAGAAAGCTTATTCCTCCTTCGAATGCTTGTTTTTTATTCCCGTCGTCTTTCGTATTCGGTTGCTAATCATATTTAAATGGACCTAAATCATGTCGATTGAAGTTGTGAGACTCTTCACCTCATTTTTCATGCCAAACTTGTATTATGTATGTAAGTTACGAAATCAGTAACTTAATGAGGGGTGGAGATTTTAAGGTTATGAAATCAAACAATGCTTGATGCAGTAAAACAACTGTAATAACAAAACATAATTACAGATTAGCTGATGCTAATAAACTATTTACAAAGTGCTTATAACTAATTAACCAACCTGATTCAATACAATTGTCATTAACCTAAATTAGCAATATTTAATTCACACCCTTTATACGCGTGGCCTAGTTCCTCACACTCACACTCCTTCCAAGTCAAGTCACTAACTGTCTCCTAGATGGAGTTAGATGACTAAGTTTGGCGGCACGTTCAAACTTACATGTATTCATATCGAAAATGCCCCTAATATTTTGGTTTCTGAACTGGTCAATTCATGCACAATGATTCTGAATTATGATAAGTTATTTCATTAATTCCCATTTATTCCACAACTGTATCACCAAATACTTAAGCGTTCTTTTTTACTGTCATGCACCTAATTTCTTTATAGAATAAGTGGTGCTTCTTCCACAGTGTACGCATACGCAGGAGAATTCCAAGACAATTATCACAGAGCTACGGTCATTGCTTGGATTTCGACCTTTGTAGCAATGGGAAATATATTACTTAGCGGATTGGCTTGGATTATTTTGCCCTCGGAGTGGCGATTTGAAATATCGCTCATTGGAACGACGTTTCGTCCTTGGAGATTATTGGTCTTTTGTTACGGTTTATCAAGCCTTATATTTGGTCTGGCACTGTTGCTGTTTCCCGAAAGCCCAAAATTTTTAATGAGCAAAGGAAAGAAAAGGGAAACTTTAGATGTGTTACGAAAAATGTATTGTGTTAATAGGAGAAAAAAGGATTTTCCAATTGTGGGTGTTTTTTGGGAACAATCAGATGGCCCAACTGAACCGGAAAAGTCCAAGCCAAACTTTTTAAACAACTTTTTCTCACAGACGGTAGCAATTTTTAGCAAGAAGTATATTGTAAGAACAATCACAGTCTGCATTTTACAATTTGGAACGTTTGCCCTGTGAGTAAATGTTTATATATTTCAACAAGTGTAATAAGAAAACTAAATGTAAATTAACCACCAGATTTTATCGATCTCAATCTGACAAATCAACGGAAAACTAAAAAATTACTGAAATTTATATTTTGTTCAAACTAACATTGTAATACTTTATTGTATCTAGTGGAAGAGTACCGTTGGCTTACCTTGGATAGTACAAAATGTTTATCTACATTTTTAAACTTGTTTACACATTCATTAGGAAAACTTCACAAAACTAATAAAATACTTTCTTCCCGGATTCTTTTTAGATCTTCTGGATTAAATATGTGGTATCCAGAAATTCTGAATAAATTATCAACTTATGAACAGGAAAATGGTAGAACAAACATTACAATTTGCGATGCCATAGTTCAGCCCTCTTATCAACCTCGTAGAGAAACTCAGGTTAAAAAATAAATTGAAAGGAAAATTACGAAAATAGTTTTTTTTTTACATTTTTAGAATAGTACCACTTGTTCGGATAGCATTGACACAGATGTATTTTCAACGGCTATTATAACAGGCTCCGCCTTGGTTGGTGTTTATCTTCTAATAGGATTAGCAATCAACTTCGTCGGCAAAAAGAACTTGCTAGTTTCGATTTTGACAATTAGCACAGCGTCAGGTATAACCGCTCAATACATCATCGGATCGTCGATAATAAAAAGTTTGACGAGTGTCGTACTGGTGTCATCTACCTGTATTGGTGTCATAAATGCTATTTTGGTGGATCTTTATTCTACTCGAGTACGTGCTACAGCTTTAGCCATTTCTCTTATGTTTGGACGTCTTGGAGCAGTCACTGGTTCCCACGTAATTGGACCAATATTCTACCAGCTTTGCGATTACGCCTTTGTTATATTCACAGCTGTTTTCGCACGTAAGTAACGCTCTTCAAATTTCCTTTCTTTTTTAAAAGCTAACAAAATGATACTAGCAAGTTTTGAGGTAGAGCAATATCTTACTAAGGAGTATAATGGGCTAAATGGTGTGACAAAAATAATTGTTATAATATCACTCGCAACTCTTCGTCTTTTAACCCTCAAATTAAGTAGAACCGAAAAACTACGCGAAATTCCAACAAAAAAAAAATCGGTTGTCTGTAAAGTCGGTTTACTGACGATAATTGAACGTGACAACGTCATAAGAAAATACTGATGGAATGGTTTCATTTTTCAAAAGAAAATTTTAATTTTATTTGTTTGATAGATATTTTGTATGGATATAGAGGTGGAGGTAAATGGAAATGTATTATTGTATAGCAGCTGTCCACGCGGACGCATCGCTCACTCAAGTAGGA